GTGCCGAAAGGTGAGCACTTTCTCCTTCGGCGTTTCGACATTGGGCGGAAGGGGGGGAGAGGGGGGGGGTTCTGGCTCCGGACCTCTGCTTAATGCGACTAATTGCAGTAGTGCGTCCTCTGGGGGAGCATCCGCCTGCTCGAAACAGGCGCCCCCAAGCAACCAAGATCCATTCCATGGGGGGGGAGGGGTGGTTGCGAGGGCCCGCGCCGATCGGCAAAACGCTGAATAAAAAAACGATCACAAGGCCTTACACCATCACACGGTGCGTGCCCGAGGTGGGCTGCCGCGGAGAGGAGCAGCGCTGTTGTTTGTCTGTTGTGTGCTGTCGTCGTCCTTGCCCGCGACCCACCCGCGACCCACCCATGTTGCTTTGACGAAAATTTGGCGCCTGCGGCGACCCCTGTGGTGCGATGTGTGAAATATCTGCTCCTGCGGCCTGCGGCGGGATTCTTCGAAGCCTCGAAGACAGCCGACGACCCTCCCGCCCCCTCACTCGTATCCGCAACTGGGGGGCCTATGGTATCCCGATGTCTGGGGCGTAAGGCAAGCATGTCACGGCCGACGAGCATGTCCATATCCATGCCCCCGGATTTCGATTTTTGATTCATTGGGGGTAACACGTGTTACCTCGTGGGAGGGGCGGGGGCGCGGGCGGGGGGGTAACGGTAACGGCGGCCGCGGCGTGGACCTTCAGGGTGACTCCAAACCACCAGCACATCAATCTCTTGTGTGCAATACAGTCCCTGTGTACACGACAAATGCCCAATGCCTGCGTGCCAATCCTTGCGTGCACGACAAATGCCCAATGCGCGCGCGTAACACAGCGCAGCCTGCGTACACCACAATGCCGCCGTACACCACAGCAGCCGCGCGCACCACAGCACCACGTCGCCTTTGTGCACCACAATGCCTGTTCACACTGCAGCCACGTGCGCAAAAACGCGGGTGTACACCACCGTGCCTGCGCGTACCAGGCTCATTGTGTAAACCATAGCGCCTGTGCACACCAAAACAAGCATGTGTACCACAGCGCCTGTGCACACCACAATCTACGTGCACCACAACGCCTGTTTATACACCACAATGCCAAACGTGCCAGCGGGCACATTACATACTAGCTTGCAGGCACCACGTTGCGCTTGTTAGCAACACAATGCGCCAGGGGCTTGCTACGAACCGAGGGCGCGACCAAAAGCCGCGAAGAACGCTGCATCATGGAACAATCAGAAACGGAAGCTCTCGGCGTAAGATTTAACCATGATTTCGCACCTCGGCTTCGTTTCTGAGAATCCTGGAGCCCGAAGGCCCGCCCCCCCCTGGGCGCGTCGCAACCTTCTCTGCGCCTGCGATCTGTCTGCGGCAAGACGCAACAACGGACGACAACGAGAGGCCGCAGGACCACCCGAACGTGGGGACACGTACCTGGCGCCCTCCGCCTTCCCACCTCCTACTTCCCCTCGGCCTCCTCCTCCTCATCTTTCTGCCCCTCCTCCTCTGAAATAATTTCATTCTGCTGAACCGCAACGCTTGCGTACACCACAGCTCCTGTGAACACCACGGCAACCGCTTGCACCACAGCGCCTGTGTACACCACAATGCTTCCGTGCATCACACCGCCTGTGAGCACCGCAACGCATGTGCAAACTACCAGTAGCCATGTGCACCGCAGCGTCCATGCGCTGGCCCTGCGTGAACGTCGATACCTGCGTGCGCCAGAGCACCTGTGTAATCCTGTGTCCTTTGGGAACTGCAGTGTTACAAGCGTTACCGTAACGGGGGGGGGTCTGGGGGGGGCGGGGGCAACACGCGCTACCCACGGGGGTATCAAAGAACGATCACCCACAGTCTGGATACCAATTCGCGATCCAATGAATACGCAACCGTCTGGATACATTCCGCTCGGAGCATTCGCGCAAGGCCGCCCGGGTCAAGCCCGAGGAGTCTGTACCGAGAGCCCGTGGATTTGGACAGGGGGCTCGAAGCTGGAACCCACACAACCTGCACAGTCTGGATCACAAAGTCGCCTCCAAGGAGGAGGGGGAGAAGCAGAGACCCGTCAAACGCGGCTGTCAGTGCGCAACAGGGTTAGTATGGGCAGGGCAAGGGGCAAGGGGGAGTCCCTCCAGTGAGGTGGTGACGGTAATGATGAAGACGATGACGATGACGATGACGATGATGACAATGATGACGATGATGACGATGATGACGATGACGATGATGACGATGATGATGATGATGATGATGATGATGATGATGATGATGATGATGATGATGATGATGATGATGATGATGATGATGATGATGATGATGATGATGATGATGATGATGATGATGATGATGATGATGATGGGCCCCGGAGACGGCATGGGGGTCCGAGTGGCGGGGCGCCTCCCCAGAAGGCCGCCCGCCCCCCGCCGCTGCCGCAGCCCCCACCTGCGCGCCGCCGGGGCCCCTGCGGCCCTGGGCTTCTGCCCGGCGGGCCTCCCCGGCGAGAGGGCCCTCGCGGGGCGGCCACCTGCGGGGCCCCGAGGCCGCGCGAGCGACGGACCGCGCGGGGACCCCTCGGAGCCCCCACGGCGACCTCACCGCGCGGCGCGGCGCCGCGCACCTCTGGGGCCTCTGGAGGCCCCGGCCGCTCGAGGCGTCCTCGGAGGGCCCCGGGCCCCAAGACCGTGTGGTGAGCAGGGGGCACGTGGGCCCCCCCTCCCAGGCTTCGGTGGGGTTTTCGAGTGGACCAGGAGTTGGGGGCCCCACTCTGGGATATGTACGAGGAGTGGTGGGCGTGCATCCTCGACAGGGCTGCGTCCGACCAGCCCCCCCCCTGGGGTGTATCCCAAGGTTCCGCTCCTGTTCTGAGCGGCTTCATCGTTCGTCGAAGACTCGGGGGTGGGCTTGGGGAGAGAGATCGCCTGCGAGTGGTGGCCCCGGATCCCCACTGACTCCCCACGCGGTGTGGTCACCACATCATTTAGGGCCCCCCGAGCAACTCCTGGGAGGTCTTCGTCAGAACGAGCAAGGGCGATTGAGCCAAATCAAGTTTTACCCTGGCGCAGATCAGCCAGATTAGGCCCGATTTTGCCCGGGGCCAATTCGGATAAGGCGGAATGAGGGGATTACGCAAGTTTGGGCTGGTTTTCGGCCACGAATATACCAGCGCCGATGCTGAGGTTACCCCCCAGAAGTGGAGCCCCCCCGGGAATTGCATCTTTAGGGCCCGCAGAGGAAGAAGACGAGGCGGGGGAGGGGCACGACAGCTTTTGCTCCCCTGGCCGCGGAGCGCCCGAAACAATGATCGCGCACGCGGCCGCGCGGTCCACAAAAAAGCCGCGCAGAAGCCCTAAGTACCTGCCACGAAGCGAGTGGGCCCCGAGGGAAACGGGCTCCTTGCACCCTCTCCTGGGACCTTCCCCCAGGACTGCACCGTCAAGCTGCTGCAACAAGGCACGCCAGAGAAGGAACGAGGCTCCTTTTTCTGGCATCGGCAGGGCCTGGGTGCACAAAGAGGGCCAGGCCCTCTTCGCGCACGGAGTTATACCCAAGGAACAAGAGAGTCCTTTCAACATGCCATGGCGAAACGGGCCAGGCCCTCTTCAAACATGCCTGGGAACAAGCACGGAATGACCCAAGGAACAGCGAGCCCCTTCCGAACCCAAAGCGGTCCTTAATTCAGCGTCTTGACTATAGTTTTTTGGCCTGAGGCATTCTCAGATGATCCTATGGCCCGTGGCGGTCCAGCGGGGCCCGCACACCAGAAACAACCTGGGACCCTCTCCCTCAGTACCCGCTTGCTTCACGGCGATCCCTGGGGGGGCCGACAGGGAACCGATACCGCCAGTCCCCAGGACCTCTCCCAATGACGGGGAGACGTAAGACTCGTGTACGGGGGACTCGGGTTGGCCTGACGGGGCCATCATGAAAATGACGAGGCCCGATCTGACATTTGACGCGAGC